TCAGAAGGCACACTAGCAAAATAGCTAAGAATTTGGTCAAATAGAGCACTGAAATTGGCTTAAAACTGGGCTCAAAGTGGGTGAAATTACTGATGTGTAAATTGCACCCAGACTGCTAACTTTGTGCCAGTGTAATTTCACAAGTCTTCCATCAAATTTTGTACTTTTGATGTCATTACTTTCAGAAAAAGATTCTCTACCATTTCTGGACAAATTAAAAAAGAAAAAAGTGAAAACTGGGAGCAATATTAATTTTGGGGGTCTGGACAAATATTACATCATAATATATATGCTATAAATAAAAATAATTCATCATAATAAAGATTTTGCACACATTACCGGCAAAGTGAACAGTAAAGTTTCACTATACTACACAAGATAACTCACCAATCCTCTCCAATCTTGTAGACATAAATAATGTTGTCAGTTTGGCCAATTGCTATCTTTGTGCTGTCAGGAGAGAAAGCAAGAGCTTTCACCAAATAGCTTTTCTTGCCATACTGAGGAAAAAGAATAAAAGATTGTTTACTTAGTGCTTAAAGGTTGACCAAATTATTAAAAAAATGTAATCATGGTATAGCTATAAATGTTGCTCTTGAGCAAATAAGAGTACAAATATACCTTAGCATCAGCAGGTTTCGTAGAAAATTTGTCTCTCCGTTCACCATTTTCATCGAAAAGTAGAATAACACGCTCTGCTGTGGACACGGCTAACTTCACGTTGTTAGGTGACCAGGCTAAAGCAGTGATCTTTGCAGCACCATCCTGAAACATATACACATCTTATATAACAAGCTGTGACATAAACTATAGATTGGATGGGTTCATGAGCGAGTATGAATTGGACCTGCCTTGCATGGGCTAATAGGCCTACTGCTGTGTTCCTTCATTCTTGTGTTCTTGTGTTTAAACTATATATATGTGGGATATGGCCAGTTCGTTGAAAAAAAAAATATTGCCATTGTAGTCTTAATTTAGGTCTAAGCTTACCCAAAATGCTCTACATAACCATGGGCTTTCTGCATGCACAACCAAATGTCGCCCATCTCTGTAGAAACATTATATCGTGCTGAAAAATATCTCTGACTTGACTTTTGATTATAATTACCGACTGAAAACTGCGAAGCAGCAGTAGTCTACTATTACCCAGGACTATTAATACCATTTATTACAAGATGAAAAGGAATATCATGAAGCTCTTCTTCAAATTATAATGATTAAAAGCTAAATATGTGTTTTTCACTTGAATAGTGGATGGCTAATTATTATTTGCTCTACAATGATGGTTAGAATTGGAGAGTTGCTACCTTTAAGTTACAATATGAAGACCGAGCTATTTAAAGTCTTTATTATACTAAAATTAAGAATATATTCTAGTTACTTGTGGTAGCAAGATGTTCTTAAGATGTTTGATGTTCATTCTGGCTAGTAAGTGCCCGGAGTCACGCCATTATTCACTTCCACAACTCCAAAAACACGACAACTCTCACTTCCCAGCCAAATTTTGAGTCTTGGAATGTTGACGTGTTATTTTCCCCGTTGACAACCTACTTAATTACTGCTCACAGAGAGGTGTCTTGATGTTGGTAATGTGCTCTTGATCGCAGGAATTGGACTTGTAATAATTTTACCTTGGATAAAACTTAATTACCATTCATAAAATAGTAATTACCTCCAAGTCCTCAGCCGTTGTTTGATCCATATGGGTTTATCGCTTCCCTATCTATATAATAAAATTGATGTTCTCGATTTGAATGAACTTCCAATATATAAAAAAATGATTCAAATAGTCACAATATATGCATTAAAGATATTAAAACAAAAATAATAAAAAGACAACATTGTTGTGATAATAACCGACCTAAATTACGCTTATATATACGCAATCAGGGAGACGCTAGTCTATAGTACAAGGCAAAAAGTAGACAATAAGAGTTTTTTCCTCTCCATTTAGCCAATAATGGTTGAGGAATGTGGATAAATGAGGTATGGGGAAGGTGTGGTGCCCCCTGGTGGCGGCGTCAAACAATGCGTAACAAAACAATGGAGGAGTAGAGCTCAGCAGGACCCCAGTGCAAATATGTCCCCACCACCGGTATGTTAGCCCCCTGGTCCATCTTGGGCACGGTCCCCGGTCCACCGGGCCAGGAACTGGCATGTCTGTGAGTGGTATGATGGGGGGTTTGTGGAGTGCTGTGTGGGGGTGTGAGTCGAGTCGCTGCGGCTGTCATGTGCTGTGGCTGGCAGGTACAGTGCTGTGGCAGGCAGGTGCTGTGCTGTGGCAGGCAGGTGCTGTGCTGTGGCAGGCAGGTGCTGTGCTGTGGCAGGTAGGTGCTGTGCTGTGGCAGGCAGGTGCTGTGCTGTGGCAGGCAGGTGCTGTGCTGTGGCAGGCAGGTGCTGTGCTGTGGCAGGCAGGTGCTGTGCTGTGGCAGGCAGGTGCTGTGCTGTGGCAGGCAGGTGCTGTGCTGTGGCAGGCAGGTGCTGTGCTGTGGCAGGCAGGTGCTGTGCTGTGGCAGGCAGGTGCTGTGCTGTGGCAGGCAGGTGCTGTGCTGTGGCAGGCAGGTGCTGTGCTGTGGCAGGTAGGTGCTGTGCTGTGGCAGGCAGGTGCTGTGCTGTGGCAGGCAGGTGCTGTGCTGTGGCAGGCAGGTGCTGTGCTGTGGCAGGCAGGTGCTGTGCTGTGGCAGGCAGGTGCTGTGCTGTGGCAGGCAGGTGCTGTGCTGTGGCAGGCAGGTGCTGTGCTGTGGCAGGCAGGTGCTGTGCTGTGGCAGGCAGGTGCTGTGCTGTGGCAGGCAGGTGCTGTGCTGTGGCAGGTAGGTGCTGTGCTGTGGCAGGCAGGTGCTGTGCTGTGGCAGGCAGGTACTGTTCTGCAGCAGGCAGGTACTGTGCTGTGGCAGGCAGGTGCTGTGCTGTGGCAGGCAGGTGCTGTGATGTGGCAGGCAGGTGCTGTGCTGTGGCAGGTAGGTGCTGTGCTGTGGCAGGCAGGTGCTGTTCTGTGGCAGGCAGGTGCTGTTCTGTGGCAGGCAGGTGCTGTGATGTGGCAGGTAGGTGCTGTGCTGTGGCAGGCAGGTGCTGTGCTGTGGCAGGCAGATGCTGTGCTGTGGCAGGCAGGTGTTGTGCTGTGGCAGGCAGGTGCTGTGCTGTGACAGGCAGGTACTGTGCTGTAACAGGCAGGTACTGTGCTGTGACAGTCAGGCACTGTGCTGTGGCAGGCAGGTGCTGTGATGTGGCAGGCAGGTGCTGTACTGTGGCAGACATGTGCTGTGCTGTGGCAGGCAGGTGCCATGCTGTGGCAGGCAGGTGCTGTGCTGTGGCAGGCAGGTGCTGTGCTGTGGCATGCAGGTAGTGCTGTGGCAGGCAGGTACTGTGCTGTGGCAGGCAGGTAGTGCTCTGGCAGGTAGGTACTGTGCTGTGGCAGGCAGGTGCTGTGCTGTGGCAGGCAGGTGCTGTGCTGTGGCAGGCAGGTGCTGTGCTGTGGCAAGCAGGTGCTGTGCTGTGACAGGCAGGTGCTGTGCTGTGGCAGGCAGGTGCTGTGCTGTGGCAGGCAGGTGCTGTGCTGTGGCAGGCAGGTACTGTGTTGAGGCAGGCAGGTACTGTGCTGTGGCAGGCAGATGCTGTGCTGTGGCAGTCAGGTACTGTGCTGTGGCAGGCAGGTGCTGTGCTGTGACAGGCAGGTACTGTGCTGTGACAGGCAGGTACTGTTCTGTGGCAGGCAGGTACTGTGCTCTGGCAGGCAGGTGATTTGCTGTGGCAGGCATTCAAGTGCTATACTGTGGCAGGCAGGTGCTATCCTGTGGCAGGCAGGCGTTGTGCTGTGGCAGGCAGGCGTTGTGCTGTGGCAGGCAGGTGTTGTGATGTGGCAGGCAGGTGTTGTGCTGTGACAGGCAGGTGCTGTCCTCTGGCAGGCAGGTGCTGTGCTCTGGCAGGCAGGTGCTGTGCTCTGGCAGGCAGGTGCTGTGCTCTGGCAGGCAGGTGCTGTGCTCTGGCAGGCAGGTGCTATGCTGTGACAGGCACGTGCTATGCTGTGGCAGGCGAGTAATGCGCTGTGACAAACAGGTGCTGTGCTGTGGTAGCTAGGTGCTGTGCTGTCAGGTGCTGTGCTGTGGCAGGCAAGTATTGTACTTTGGCAAGCAGGTGCTGTGTTGTGGCATGCAGGTACTGTGCTGTGGCAGGCAGGTACCATGCTGTGGCTGGCAGGTACTGTGCTGTGGCAGGCAGGTAGTGCTGTGGCAGGCAGGTACTGTGCTGTGGCAGGCAGGTGCTATCCTGTGGCAGGCAGGCGTTGTGCTATGGCAGGCAGGTGTTGTGCTGTGGCAGGCAGGTGTTGTGCTTTGGCAGGCAGGTGCTGTGCTGTGGCAAGCAGGTGCTGTGCTGTGACAGGCAGGTGCTGTGCTGTGGCAGGCAGGTGCTGTGCTGTGGCAGGCAGGTGCTGTGCTGTGGCAGGTAGGTACTGTGCTGTTGCAGGCAGATGCTGTGCTGTTACAGTCAGGTACTGTGCTGTGGCAGGCAGGTGCTGTGCTGTGACAGGCAGGTACTGTGCTGTGACAGGCAGGTACTGTTCTGTGGCAGGCAGGTACTGTGCTCTGGCAGGCAGGTGATTTGCTGTGGCAGGCATTCAAGTGCTATGCTGTGGCAGGCAGGCGTTGTGCTGTGGCAGGCAGGCGTTGTGCTGTGGCAGGCAGGTGTTGTGTTGTGGCAGGCAGGTGTTGTGCTGTGACAGGCAGGTGCTGTCCTCTGGCAGGCAGGTGCTGTGCTCTGGCAGGCAGGTGCTGTGCTCTGGCAGGCAGGTGCTGTGCTCTGGCAGGCAGGTGCTATGCTGTGACAGGCATGTGCTATGCTGTGGCAGGCGAGTAATGTGCTGTGACAAACAGGTGCTGTGCTGTCAGGTGTTGTGCTGTGGCAGGCAAGTATTGTACTGTGGTAAGCAGGTGCTGTGCTGTGGCAGTCAGGTGGTGTGCTGTGGCAAGCAGGTGCTGTGGCAGTCAGGTGCTGTGCTGTGGCAAGCAGGTACTGTGCTGTGGCAGCCAGGTACTATGCTCTGGCAGCCAGGTACTATGCTCTGGCAGCCAGGTGTTGTGCTGCAGCAGCTAGATGTTGTGCTGTGGCAGCCAGGTTCTGTGCTGCAGCAGTCAGGTGCTGTGCTATGGCAGCTAGGTTCTGTACTGTGGCAGCCAGGTGCTGTGTTGTGGCAGCCAGGTGCTGTGTTGTGGCAGCCATATGGTATGCTGTTGCTGGCAGGTACTGTGTCATGAGCAAGTTTTTGCTATTAGGTACAAATTATACCATACAACTGGTGCTTTATAAATAGTCTTTTGCAGTTTGATTACATATTTTTACATATTTACCTTGAAAAATTGCACTTCTCCTTTTGTCTTTTGACACATTAAAAATTATAAATTAATAATTTTCCATCTTTTAATTCTTTCTATCAAACTTTGTTTAACACTAGTTTTCTTTTTACCAAGCTTTACTTATTTCTAAAAATTTCCCTTCACTAAAGCAATGTATGATCCGTGAGGGTTTGATGCGTCTTTTTGAATGAAATAATGATGCTCTTCACTATGTTTTACTCTTTACCAAAATTTACCTTTCACTAAAACTTTACCTTTCCCCAAACTTTCTCCATAACCAGTCTTATCCTTTACCAAACTTTATCCTTCACTAAGCTTTGCTATTCATCAAACTTTTTTCTTCACCAAATTTTAGCCTTTGCCAAGCTTAACCTTTCACTAAATTTTATTCATCAAGCTTTACCCTTCAAACTTTACACCTTGCCAAACTTTACCCTTCTCACTAAACATTTCCTCTTACTCAACTTTATTCCCTCAAGGAAGGTGCTTTGATGTGAGGAAATAGGCTTATCCTCTCCTTCCTTGGGACAAACCTGATAGTTTCTCATTTCCTTGGATGCTGTATAACCCCTATAGGCTTAGCTTTTCCACAACTAATGCTGTAATAATGGCCAAACTTTCCCTGTCTCTAAACTTTCCTTCTTACTAAACTTGGCTTCTTGCTAGAATTTCTCTTTCACCAAACTTTCTCTTCAAACTTTCCCTTGAAACCTCGCCTCTCCAAACCTATTCAAACTTTGCATCTTTCCATTCTTACCAAATTTTCACTTCTTACCAAACTTTACATTCTTACCAAACTTTCCCTCTTACTAAACTTTCCCTCTTACCAAACTTTCGCTCTTACCAAACTTTCGCTCTTATCAAACTTTCCCTTTTACAAAATTTTCTTTTACCAAACTTTCCCTCTTACCAAACTTTTCCCTCTTACCAAACTTTCCCTCTTGCCAAACTTCCCCTCATACCAAACTTTCCCTCTTACCTAACTTTCCCTCTTACCTAACTTTCCTCTCTTACCAAACTTTCCCATATGCCAAATTTTCCCTCTTAAACTTTCCCTCTTCCCAGATTTTTCCTTCTTACCAAACTTTCCCTCTTACCTGTCTTTCCTTCTTACCAAACTTTCTCTCATACCAAACTTTCCCTCTTACCAAACTTGCTCTCTTTCTAAACTTTCCCTCTTACCAAACTTTCAGTCTTTCCAAATTTTCCCTCTTACCAAACTTTCCCTCTTACCAAACTTTTATTCTTACCAGACTTTTCTTCTTACCAAACTTTCCCTCTTCTCAAACTTTCCCTGTTATCAAATTTTTCCTCTTACCAAACTTTTCTTTTGACCAAAACTTCCTCCTCTTACCAAACTTTCCCTCTTATTAAACTTTCCCTCTTACTATACTTTCCCTCTTATCAAACTTTCCCATTTATCAAATTTTCCCTCTTACCAAACTTTCCTTTTAACCAAAACTTTCCCTCTTACTAAACTTTCCCTCTTACTAAACTTTCCCTCTTACCAAATGTTCCCTCTTACCAAACTTTCCCTCTTACCTAACTTTCCCTCTTACCTAACTTTCCCTCTTGCCAAACTTTCCCCTATACCAAATTTTCCCTCTTACCAAACTTTTTGGTATGCCAAATTTTCCTTCTTACTGTACATTTCTCTCTTGCCCAACTTTCCCTCTTATCTGACTTTCCTCTCTTATCAAACTTTCCTCCTATGCCAAATTTCCCCTCTTAATCTTTCCCTCTTCCCAGACTTTTCCTTCTTACCAAACTTTCCCCTCTTACCAAACTTTCCTTCTTACCAAACTTTCCCTCCAACCAAACTTTCCCTCCTCCTAAATTTTCCTTCTTCCCAAACTTTCCCTCTTACCAAACTTTCCCTCCTACCAAACTTTCCTTCCAACTAAACTTTCCCTCTTCCCAATCTTTCTCTCTTACCAAACTTTCCCCTCTACCAAACTTTCTCTTTTACTAAACTTTCCCTCTTACCAAACTTTCCCCTCTTACCAAACTTTTGCTCTCAAAATTTTTTCTCAAACCTTACCTCTCTCCAAACTTTACCTCACCAAGCATTCTCAATAAACTTTTCCAAAACTAAAGGCTCTTTTTCTCCTTCCTTGAATCAAACCTGATGGTTTCCTATTTTACCAAGAGCTGTGTGGCCCTTAAGGTTTCAGAGCTCCTCCCACTTTTCCTCTCACCTAACTATCCCTCTCTCCAAACACTTTTTTCACCAAACCTTTCCTCTTGCTAATTTTTTTTATTAAACTTTCTCACTAAGTTTTCCTTCACTAAACTTTCTCTTTTGTTAAACTTAGCTTCTTGCATAAATTTCCCCAACCTTTCCCCCATTATTATTCACTCCACCATCCTTTCTTATACAAAACTTTTCCCTGTGTAAAACTAATTTTCCCCAAACTCTGTACCAATCCAAACCTGCCACTAAAATTTTTCTTCCTGAAATGCTTGCTTTATCACTAAACTCCCCAAAATACTTTCTCTGCCACAAACCTTCCTAAAATACTTTGCCCCACTACCTAATTCCCTAAAATGCTTCATCTGCTACAAAACTCCACAAAATGCCTACCTGCTACAAAATTTCCTAAAATGCTTCCTCAAGCAGTAAACAGTGAAGTCAGAAGCAGCCACAGTTAAAAATCTGTTTCTCAAGGCACAGTACTGGCCCCACTTCTGTTTTTTACTCTTACATCCAACATGGATAAGGACATTAATCACAGTAATGTAACATCCTTTGCTGATGATGCCAGAATCTTTATGAGAGTGTGTCTGTTAAAGACAGCAAAACCTTGGGTAGTTATAATTAGTCTTTTGGATAAAAATGCGATGTTTAATGAGGACAAGCTTCAGTTGCTCCACTATGAAAGAATAGAGGAAATACTGTAATGGAGTACTTGAACTCAAATTGTTCAAGTAAGTAAAAGTTTCATGTTTGAGACTTGGAAGTAATGATGTCAGAATATCTTGCATTCAAAGATCACAAGATTGCCTTTGGTACCAGAAGAAAAATGATAAACTGGATAACTAGAACTTTCAAGACAAAAGATGCTGAGCCACTAATGATACACTTAAGTCACTTGTTCTCTCTAGGCTAGAATACTGCTGTAAACTAATGTCCTCTTTCAAGGCAGTCAAGAATGCTGAGCTGGTAAACATAAAGAGCTTTCAATGCTTGTATACACTCGATCAAGCATCTGAACTACTGGGAATGCTTGAAGTCCCATCAGCTGTATTCCTTGGAACATTGGCTAGAAAGGCACAGTACATAATACATTATTCTGTTTAACAACAAGAAACTTGGCAGACAGTGCAAAATACTGTACCCCCACTAAAAAGCAGGGCTGCAACAAGTACACTGAGAGAACTCCAATGTTAGAGGTCCCCGACTCTTCAGTACCCTCCCTCCATGCATACAGGGAATTACCAACAAATCTCTGGTTTTCTTCAAGTGGGAACTAGAGAAGTACCTCAGATCAGTGATTGACCAGCTGGGCTGTGTTTGTGTGTTAGACTGAGTGTGGCCAGCAGTAATTGCCTGGTTGATCAAGTCTTGATCCTCCAGGAGGCCTGGTCTGCAACCAAATTGCAGGGGCATTGACTCCCAGACACATCCTTTAGGTATCTTTCCACAAAACTCCACAAAATACTTCAATCACCACGTGATTTCCTAAAAATTCTTCCTCTACATGACTCCCCAACATACTTTCCCTACCACAAACCTTCCTAAAATACTTTCCTTACTGTTGTTTTGTTTTGTCCGTCGATTCGACGAGGACCATCTAGTCATCCTGGGGTTGAAGTTGGTGGGTACGCAGATGACTTGTCAGGCCAATCCGCGCACGAAACGTTCTCTGGCAGTGTGGACAGGGAAGGGTGGCAGCATCGAGGGGTCTGATGGCTCTGGTCTTCCTCACCTGCCTGCGCTGCTCAGCTAGTGAGATTCTGCTTGCCTCACAGGATGTTGCCCCTTTCTGGACAACTGCTCGCCAGTCATTCCTGTCCTGAGCTATCAGCTCCCACATGGTGTAGTTGATGTTGAAAGCTTTCAGAGCAGTCTTAAGGGTGTCCTTAAGGGTGTTTCCCCTACAGCAAAACTCCCTATAATACTTTCCATATCACAAAACTCCTTAAAATGCTTCCCCTAACACACAACTTCTTAAAATGCTTTCCCTGCCACAAGCCTCCCAAAAATACTTCCTCTGCCACAAACCTCTCAAAAAATGCTTCCCCAACCACAAACCTCTCGAAAATACTTCCCATACTACAAAGCACCCTAAATAAATGCTTTTCCCAACTGCATACCATCAAAATTTCCCCATCCTCAAATGAAAGCTTTTCCACTAAACTCTCTCACTTTCCCTAAACCTTTTCCTATTTCCTCTCTCATAGTAAATTTCCCTTCCTGCCAATTGGTCTCTCCTGCCAAACTACCCCTCCCACCAAATTCCCCCCCTTCCTCTAACCCTCTCCCATCAAGTTCCCTCTCCTACCAAACTACTACAGTACTACTGCCAAACTCTCTCTCCTTCCAAATTCCCTCTCCTACAAAACTTCCTCTCCTATCAAATTCCCACCCTACCAAACCCCCTCTCCCACCAAACCTCCCTTCCCACAAATTTACCTTTCCCAACAAACTCCCCACCTACTAAATTTTGCCAAAACTACAATAATAATAATAATAATAATTTTTTTTTTTTTATTCGCCGGTACTCTCCCGGCCCAGGTCTTTTCCAAGTAGTGGTGACCCGGCCTTGGCTCCCTATCTGGGGAGTGTCTCGAGACGTAAGTCTCCCATGGGAGGAGGTACAAATACCCCCCTCATCTTTGGGACCAACTGTCCCTAGGCCTAGCCACATTCCCCGCCCTCACGGGGCTCGTAGGGAGAAGCTAGGCCTCTGGTAATAATAATAATAATAATAATAATAATAATAATAATAATAATAATAATAATAATAATAATAATAATAATAATAATAATCTTTATTTCTACACGTACATGATACAGCTTATACAAACCTAGCTGACATCAGTGACTTAATATATAGAAAGTTCCTTGTTATGTAGAGCATTTCTGGCAACTTAGGTTAATTTTGCCCCCAGTATGTGACCCACACCTATCAGTCAACACCCAGGTACCGACTTACTGCTAGGTGAACAGGGACAGGAGGTATCTTAAGGAAACCCATCCCAATGTTTCCATCCGTATCAGGGATCAAACCTCAGACCTCAGTGTGTGAGCTGAGTATGCTACCAACCTTTTCATTTCCTTACAATATTGTACTCCTCTGACCCATAAAAACTTTCACTTAAACTTTGTTTCCCCTCGTTAAACTCTCTAAAAGAAATATTGTTTCTTGGAAACGTGAGTGAGGTTGTGGGGATAACCATGGTGTAGGTATAGGCCATTAAAGATTTCTTTTCCCTGTTCGTTTCCAGACATTAAGTTTTCCCTATCAAATATTCCCAACCAAACTCTTCCCCAAACCAAATGCTTTTCTGCTCTCTCTCTCACCAAACTTTTTTTTTTTCTCTTCTTCCTTCTTTCTTATCAAACTGTTTGTCACATAACATTCCACCCATCCAAACCCCCATTTTTTCCTTCCTCCCACCCCATTTAATATTTTATCCCCTCCCTCCTCCCCATGTAATATTTTACCTCATCCCTTCCTCATGTAATATTTTACCCCCCCCCTCCCTGTGTAATATTTAGCCCCCCTTCCCTTGCCCCATGTAATATTTATGATTGTAGTTAATAAGTGGTTCTCTTTTGTGTCTACCATTGTATTATTATTTCATGCAAGCTACATTATTTGTATGTCATAAAGAAATAAAAATGATGATGATGATGATTTTCACTGATGACTAGATGATGGTCTAGGACAGACCAAAATGTCCAGTTCTCATTTCCATTTTGGGATTTATTGTGTGTTAGTTGTCTTAGCTACTCCACTGTCACATTTATTGTTTTAATTTTATTGTGTATAATTTTTTTTATATACCATGGCATTTGTCTGATATCTCTTGAAATTTTTTTTTGTACACTCTGTAGCTTCCATCTGAATTTACTTACATTTTTTACAGCCCATCAAACAGACATGCATGAAGTTGTAAATAGTTTTGTATGACTTTAATAATATTTTGAGCAAGATGGACACCCGGAAGCGTAGAAAAGAAGGAATTACACTTGCATCATCACTTGAAAGCTTACAAGTCTCTCCAAAAAGGTACGTGTCATTTGAAATTTATAATAAATTTTTGATTGTGAGGTGAATTGAGCAGTACTGGATTAACATTTGAGGATGTCGAGAGAACTTGCAACATTAAAATCATGTGGTGGGGTCCTGGGGCTCACACTAAATGTTACGTTCATTTCCTATATAGTGAATGCCTCTCTTAGCCCCAATCTAGTCTGTCACATGCTATTGTGCTCAGTTCAGTCTCTTTTGCTTCTAGTCTATTGTTGTTGTATTGTGGTGTGCAGGCACCAGCTGGGCTTGCATGCCTTGCTCAGCTTTAGTTGTCAGCCCTCTCTAAGTGCCAGTATCTTGTCCTCATCTTGTTATGGATCATATCATCACCCAATACAGAAACAACTGTGATACCCTGAAGATCATAATTATTCCAATGACTGACTGGTCTCTGCACACACAGTCCTTTCATTTTTTGCTGAAGGGATTTCACGACTGTCCTGCTTTACACTGAAGAAACGAACTTTGAAAATGAAATAGTTGACAAGAGCAAGATGAAACCTAATCTTTTATTCATACTTGTAAAAAGTAAACAATGTTAAAGGTTACCAGTAAACACAAAGAATTAAGAATGAAAAAAAAATCACAGAAGAGGAGGAAATGTGTGAGAGGGTAAGTAGAAGGTTTCACTGTGTGTTTACAGAAGATAGTTTATATGTAATGGATTTTAAGCCCAAATAGGTAATTGAGCTAGAGGATATTGAGGTACCTGAAGAGGTAGTAAAGTCAGAAGCAGGTGCATACACTTCTCTGGTGTCATGTCCACATCACAATCTGTGGTATACTGGGGCACCTCTGTCCTTTGCCCAGTGGGAGTCCTCCATGACTCTACTCGTCCTTTTCAGCAATCTGGTTGAAGGACTTGTCAGATTTTCCTCTTCATTGACCCGTAGTCAGAGCTCGTGATTAATGCTGGTCTACTTTCTGCATGAACTCGCTATTTCACCTCTGTGGTATATACCCACGCAGGTGAACATCCACCTTATGTCCTCGCCCATGACACTGGAGTTGTGGAGGACTCTGACTTTGGCAGCCCATGTTTCCATGTCATTGATTCTTGAGGGCATGCAGCTCACCATCTGGAGCATTAGCCACCCAGGTTAATGCAATAAAGTCAGTGTTTCATTGAGGACTGCCTGTTGTATTCCATTGGGGTCCTTTAATCTTCTTCCCCAGGATGCAACCCACAACAGTCTGCTAACACCCAGGTACCTACTTACTGATAGGTGAATAGGGGCAGCTGGTGTAAGGAAACATGCCCAACGCTTCACCTGTGCCAGGGATTGATATTGATCCCTCAGTGTGTGAGCTGAGGATGCCATCAATCAAGCCACACATTGAGGTGAGGCCTAGGTGTTTCTGGTAGGCTTATATTTCAGTGGTGTTTACAGTATGTACTAGGTCAAAATTGGAATATGCCACTAAGAAAGGTAGTGTTTCACTTTCCTTAATAGACAGTTCTACTTACAGCAACATTATTTTCTTCTTTATGCTCCCCAAAAAATCTTGGCTTATTTATGAGAGAAAAGCATGCTTGCTGTTACTATATAGAAATATTTAAATTGTATGTATGTGTATATATTCACATGTAAGTTGATGCTTTCAGGGCACGTGTCCATGCCCAGCGCAAGTTTGCTCAAGGGTCACAGCCAAACAGTCCTGCTCCAACTCCTGTTAAGGAGACTAGAGAATTACGTGACAGGAGTGGTTCTACAGAAACAAGAAGTAGAACCATTAATCAGGTTCTTCCACCTCCACCTCTTCTGGATATTGTTGAAGTGCCAGTCAGACCAACAGTTGAAGATTTTTTGACATTTCTTTGTTACAGAGGTGAGACAAAATAAATTTATTTATTACATGTATGGTTTATTGCACAAACGATAGGGTAGATGGGGAGCAATGTGGCAGATGTTGCAAGTGTATGGAATAGGTGGTAAGTTACTAATTGCTGTAAAGAGTTTTTATGAGGATAGCGAGGCTCAGGTTAAGGTGTGTGGGAGAGAGGGAGATTACTTTCCAGCAAAATTAAGTCTTAGACTGAGATGCATAATGTCACCATGGTTGTTTAGCATATTTATAGATGGGGTTGTAAAAGAAGTAAATGTTAGGGTGTTGGGGAGAGGTGTGGGATTAAAATATGCAGATTCAAATACAAAATGGGAGTTGACAAAGTTACTTTTTGCTGATGATACTGTGCTTTTGGGAGATTCTGAAGAGAAGTTGCAAAGGTTAATGGACGAATTTGGGAGGGTGTGTAAAGGAAGAGAGTTAAAAGTGAACTTAGATTAGAGTAAGGTGATGAGGGGTATCATACAATTTGAATAAGGAAAAATTGGATATTGGATTGGAGGGAGGGAGTATGGAAGAAGTGAATGTGTTCAGATATTTGGGAGTAGACTTGTTGGCAGATGGGATTATGAAGGATGAAGTAAACCATAGAAATGATGAAAGAAAAAGGGTGGGCGGTTGCAGCAAGGATGAGGCTGGAGGCAGTGGAGATGTCATGTCTAATGACATCATGCAGAGAATTCATAGTGTGGAAATTGGGAGGAGGTGTGGAGTTACTAAAAGTATTATTCAGAGGGTCGAGGAAGGGTTGTTGAGGTGGTTTGGTCATTTAGAGAAGATGAAGCAAAATAGTGTGACTTGGAGGGTGTATAAATCTGTAGTGGAGGGAAGGAGGGGTAGAGGTCATCCTGGGAAAGGATGTAAGGAGGGGGTAAAAGAGGTTTTGTATGCAAGGGTCTTGGACATACAGCAGTCATGTGTGAGCTTGTTAGATAGGAGTGAGTGGAGACATAGGGTTTTCGGGACTTGACAAGCTGTTGGAGTGTGAGCAGGGTAATATTTTATGAAGGAATTCAGGGAAACTGGTTAGCCGGACTTGAGTCCTGTAAGTGGGAAGTACAGTGCCTTCACTTTAACCCTTTCAGGGTCCAGAGGCCAAATTTCAAAGTGCACACCATGATCCAAGAATTTTCAAAAAAAAAAAAATTTGTTATTTTTTTCTTATGAAATGGTAGAGAATCTTTTTCTGAAGGTAATAAAACAAAAAGTATGAAATTTGATGGAAAATTGACGAAATTATGCTCTCACGAATTTTGATGTGTCAGCAATATTTACGAATCAGCGATTTTGCAGACTTTGACTCCCATTTTAGGCCAATTACATTATTCCAGTCGACCAAATTCTTAGCTATTTCACTAGTATTACTTCTATTCTGTCGATTGAGCACAAGAAATAGCCAAGTCAACTGTTTCAACTATAAAATAAAGTGATAGGAAATTGGTAATTTAGCCAATTTAACACAAAGTTCAAAATATTCCAATTTCAAAATAGGGTCCAGAATAAACAATGTAGGTATTCCTGGCACTAAACTAACATTTCCTCTGTTCATTAGTTACATTTTGAGGCTTTACAAATGAATTCCATTTTGATTTTTTATTCACATAATGAATTTTTATTCAAACCAAAAAATAGAAGATTTACTGTTATGCAATATTGTAATAATTGTATAAATATCATCACCACATTTGTGAATGTATATTAGACCCACCAACTGGTGTGTATTAGACGTGTGAGGTCGTTTGTTTATTCTTGAACATTGGCAAAAATTTAACATTTCCGCTACTTTGAGCTCAGTTTCTAGTCATTTCCAGTGCTAAAACCAATCAAAATCATTTTTATTTCTGTAATATGTCTTCCATTCTATCAAATGAGACCAAGAAATCGCAAATAGTACAACTATAAAAAACATACGAAAATCACGGTCTCAGTTTTTTTCTCTCATTATACACTGTGCTGCAGGATTTGTTTTATGTGGTGCACACATACCACATAGATGTATTCTCTCATATCTAGGCCCAAATTTACCACTCACAGCTTATTAGAGTGAGCTGAGCTCATGGCGTAGATCTACGGTTTGGACCCTGAACATAAAGCCGTAGATCTACAACATGGACCCTGAAAGGGTTATAGGAGGAGTTTGGGATATTTGCTGTTTGGAGTGACTCCTGAACTGTTGTATCTGCACACCTCTGCAAAGATAGTGATTATGTGTGAATGATGGTGAATGTGTTTCTTTTTTGGGTCACCTTGTCTTGATGGGAAACTGCCAGCATGTTAATAAAAAAAATGGTTTGTTAAAACTGACAGATTGAGGAATGAGACACTTGTGCAACATTTGGGCATCTTTTTTTTTTTTTTAGCATGTGGGTATCTCTATTATGGAAATGTTTTGGTAGCTATTGGCTTCTTCAATTCAATACAGAGATGAACAGTGGAAGATGAAAAGGAATTTTGAGTAATCAGTCCCTCAGCCTACAGATGATGCATTCAGTCCATCAGTCTTGATGGACTGAACAATCAAGATTGATGAACAATCAAGATTGATGGCTGAGGGACTGATTACCTCAAACTCCACTGTTCTTCTCTGTATTAGACTGATGTAGCCACTGGCTGGTGAAATATTTTCACAATAAAGATACAGAAATGTTGCACAAGTGTCTTATTCATCATATTTCTTGGTACTTGGAATACCAGTACTCACAATTTGGAATTTTTCAAGTTTCAGTTCTGAAAATTGTTATAATACTATCATGTTACCTGTAATGATGATGATAACATAGAATATAATCATAATAAAATTTTCAGGATATTGATAGTCATAAAAATGTGTATTTTAAGCATATTGGCTATCTTCCACTGAGGTAGGGTGACCCATAAAAGGAAAATATATTCATCATCATTCATTCCCTAGCTGTCTTTCCAAAGTACATGGACATTCCAATTTCAATTATTCAGTGAGCTATAACTTCCCACCAAACAAGCACTCATTCTTCAGAGTGTTATCTCTCCAGAAGTACCCAAATGCCACAATTCCAATGATCCACCAAACTGCAACATCCTTGTCCATCCTTCAGGGTGGAGACTATATTTTATACCTCCAGAAGTCCACCTAACCGCTTGATATTTAAACTAGCATGCAAAATTTTGTTGTTGTTGCGCTAAGTAGCTGGAAATGTTCATTCAAAAGCATTCTAACATTTGGAGGTACATATTTGAAAATATCTGGAAGAGTCTGTAGGAGGCCTTCCTCACAAGGAAAGTTTCCACAATGACAAAAACTTTCAATGTGCAGTTGGAAGTACAGTGGACCCCCGCATAACGATCACCTCCGAATGCGACCAATTATGTAAGTGTATTTATGTAAGTGCATTTGTACGTGTATGTTTGGGGGTCTGAAATGGACTAATCTACTTCACAATATTCCTTATGGGAACAAATTCGGTCAGTACTGGCACCTGAACATACTTCTGGAGTGAAAAAATATCGTTAACCGGGGGTCCACTGTATTCATTGCACCACTATTTCTTTTTTAACATGTCAGCAGTTTCCCAACCAAGGCAGGGTGACCCAAAAAGAAAGAAAAAACTTTAATCATCATCATTCGGTGGGAGATGGCCGACTTGTTAAAAAAAAAAAATCATACATAATCACTCTCTTTGCAGAGGCGCTCAGATACGATAGTTTAGATGTTCCTCCAAACTGCCAATATCCCAAACCCCTCCTTTAAAGTGCAGGCATAGTACTTCCCATTTCCAGGACTGAAATCCGGCTAACCGGTTTCCCTGATCCTTTTACAAAGTGTTACTCTGCTCACACACCAACAGCTTGTCTGGGCCCAAAAACCATTAGTCTCCATTCACTCCGTTCGTTATTTTTTTTTATATGAATAAAAAAGTTTCCAAAATGACAAAAACTTCTGATATACAGTTGGAAGTATACATTTCACTATTTTTCTTTATTTCAGTAAATGCTTGGAGATTTGATTGCCATTCATTAATTGTTTTTCATACTCCCAGGAACTTCACTTTTACCACCGGGACTAGAACATTTTAATTCGCCCCAACTTCTTGAAGCAGCAGGCGATAGTCGAAGCCAAAGTCCTGCCAGAGAAGAAAAGGGCAAACTTTCTTCAAAGAAAAAACAAGATGGTTTTACGGTTGACAAAAAAGAAAGGGAACTTTCAAAGGCAAGTAAATTGGTGGTATTTTTAATGTAGGTTTATTTTACAGATCCTTACTAGTGATATTTTTTTAGCATTGTTTAAAGAAATTTAAGTTGTTTATTAATCCTAGTAAAATAGTGTTAGTATCCTAAAATCCTAAATTTTCCCCTTTTTTAATGTTTACTGTCCCAATTATGTTAATAGGATTCCGTTAAGAAGAACCTGGATCAAAGTACTGATGGTGAAGGTTCTGCTGTTTCGTTCCGTGTAACACGCAGCACCCTACAGCCTCCTGTGGCTACTAGTACTTCAGTTATGCCTCATTCACCAAAGAAGCTCTCAAAAAGACTTATAATGAAGAAAGCCCTGCTTCTCCAGACCAAAGCAAAGTCACTAAGACTTCAAGGTATGACACCCACATTATCCTACTACTTTATTATAGATAATAGTTACATAGTGGGAACACCTGCACTGTGCTGCTACTCTATTATATATGATAGTTACATAGTGGGAGCACCTGTGTATTCCTTGTAAGAAACAAGTCTCTTTGACAAAATTAATACATGTATATATCACAATGCTGTGGCTGTAATAATTCTCAGGCATCTCATAAATTAGCAATGTTTAGTTTAAAGGAGGTTTTGTGTGCGAGGGGCTTGGACTTCCAGCAGGCGTGCGTGAGCGTGTTTGATAGGAGTGAATGGAGACAAATGGTTTTTAATACTTGACGTGCTGTTGGAGTGTGAGCAAAGTAACATTTATGAAGGGATTCAGGGAAACCGGCAGGCCGGACTTGAGTCCTGGAGATGGGAAGTACAGTGCCTGCACTCTGAAGGAGGGGTGTTAATGTTGCAGTTTAAAAACTGTAGTGTAAAGCACCCTTCTGGCAAGACAGTGATGGAGCGAATGATGGTGAAAGTTTTTCTTTTTCGGGCCACCCTGCCTTGGTGGGAATCGGCCAGTGTGATAATAAATAAAATAATAAAAATAGTTTAATATGTTTTTTATGCACCCCATACCCATCCTGTGGGCTGTAGTCAAAAGATATAGAGGTACATAGTGAGGCTCAAGTTAGAATATGTAGGAAAGAGGGAAATTATTTCCCAGTAAAAGTAGGCCTTAGACAGGGATGTGTGATGTCACCGTGGTTGTTTAATATATTTATAGATGGGGTTGTAAGAGAAGTAAATGCGAGGGTCTTGGCAAGAGGCGTGGAGTTAAAAGATAAAGAATCACACATAAAGTGGGAGTTGTCACAGTTGCTCTTTGTTGATGACACCGTGCTCTTGGGAGATTCTGAAGAGAAGTTGCAGAGATTGGTGGATGAATTTGGTAGGGTGTGCAAAAGAAGAAAATTAAAAGTGAATACAGGAAAGAGTAAGGTTATGAGGATAACAAAAAGATTAGGTGATGAAAGATTGGATATCAGATTGGAGGGAGAGAGTATGGAGGAGGTGAATGTATTCAGATATTTGGGAGTGGACGTGTCAGCGGATGGGTCTATGAAAGATGAGGTGAATCATCTTTGTATCAGAGTATAGTTTTACCAACGCTCTTATATGGGTGTGAAGCATGGGTGATGAATGTTGCAGCGAGGAGAAAGCTGGAGGCAGTGGAGATATCATGTCTGAGGGCAATGTGTGGTGTGAATATAATGCAGAGAATTCGTAGTTTGGAAGTTAGGAGGAGGTGCGGGATTACCAAAACTGTTGTCCAGAGGGCTGAGGAAGGGTTGTTGAGGTGGTTCGGACATGTAGAGAGAATGGAGCGAAACAGAGTGACTTCAAGAGTGTATCAGTCTGTAGTGGAAGGAAGGCGGGGTAGGGGTCGGCCTAGGAAAGGTTGGAGGGAGGGGGGTAAAGGAGGTTTTGTGTGCGAGGGGCTTGGACTTCCAGCAGGCATGCGTGAGCGTGTTTGATAGGAGTGAATGGAGACAAATGGTTTTTAATACTTGACATGCTGTTGGAGTGTGAGCAAAGTAACATTTATGAAGGGGTTCAGGGAAACCGGCAGGCCGGACTTCGAGTCCTGGAGATGGGAAGTACAGTGTTTGCACTCTGAAGGAGGGGTGTTAATGTTGCAGTTTAAAAACTGTAGTGTAAAGCACCCTTCTGGCAAGACAGTGATGGAGTGAATGATGGTGAGAGTTTTTCTTTTTCGGGCCACCCTGCCTTGGTGGGAATCGGCCAGTGTGATAATAAAAAATAAAAAATAATGGGTCCAGGGACTGGGCCCCAAAGTTTTGATAGCTGAGCAAGTTACAAAGGTAATGAACTCCAGGTAGATATGGTCACAGTCATGACAAGGTACAAAGCTATTTACAGATTACAGAGGTGCATAATGGGTCCAGAGACTGGGCCCCAAAGTTTTGATAGCTGAACAAGGTACAAAGGTAATGATCTCACAAGTTACAAAGGTAGTGAATTATGTAAGTAAATTTACTTACTTACATTTATACATGGCTATGGAAGTAGAAAATATTTCAATCTGTCCTGAACTGTTATCAGTACCAGTTAAGAGAAAAAAAATTCTTCCCTTTTCTCTCACCTACAAACTGATAATAGTCCAAGATGGCCTGACAAATTATTTAATTTTATCTCCAGATGATGGGTTAGTTGTGAAATCTGTGAAAATATTAATAAGGAAATTTTTTTTTTCCCTCACAAAAGAGAAAATTGAAATCCTGTATAATTTTTTAGAGGGTCGTTCATATTTAGTTCCACAATAAGTTTGAACACTGTTAGAATTAAATATGATCTCGACTAATAAATAAATAATTACAGTATTTCTAGTTCAATTTTCATTTTTACCTTGCAGAAAGGAAGAAGGTTGCTTTAAGACGATCAGATATTCAAATAATGGAATCAACACCTGTTCAGGGACCTGTAGTGGCTACAAGGTCAGGGCGACTATTGCATAAATATCGTGTTTCAGCCACAACAGCAATGGCTCGAAAGAAAGCACGTGTAGCCATGCTTTCATCAATCCGCCCTAAACAAAAGTTGTCGAGAATATTACAAAGGTATGGGGTTCATTTACATTACATTTTTTATTAATGTGTTTATTGTTGATCATTCTATCTAAAAAATTATTTTTTTCTTTACTAAAGATACTCTGTTACCATTCTTTGAACAAGTTTACAAGAATTATTTTGTGTATTACTAATGTTTCACTATTAGGTAAAGCCCATTTCACAGTTTTTATCTTGCATTTTGCTTTTTCTGTTGCTCATTTTCTATCCTTACTTCCTTTTTATCACTGGAAACTTCATTTGAACTAAATAAGACTTTTTCAGTCTGTTCTACTTATTGCATTATTTGAACATCAACTCATTCTTTTGTCATTAGTTACTGTTGCACTTCCAGCGAGGTAGAAAGTCATTTTGTCTTTATTTTGGTAGGTATTTGTTAAGCAATTAGGTTATATGACAACCTGGTGAGAGTCTGGTTATATTCCAGACACTAGATGAAGCTGAATTGTAATATAACACTGCTTCACTATCCAACATCCCATTATTTGACCTCCCTGTACCATATACTCCCTTGGGTTATCCCCCTTTGCCCTTTCTGTAATCAGGGGCAGCACCAAAGGGGGTTAGGAGGGCTTCAGATTCCCTAAAAATTCTCTGAGCCCCCCAAATAAATTAGTAATAAAAATAATGCTTCTTCAAAACGTATTGTAACTCATCCCCTCCTAACCAGATAGCCAACCCTAAGCCTCCCGAGGATATTAATTCTTGTGCTGCTCCAGCCTGTAATACATGTACCTATGCACTACACAGGCTCCCTGCACTACGTATAGAGTATATACCCCTTGCACTCTATATGCTTTTCCCAACACCACATTTGCCCTATGCACCACATGTCTCCCACCCTACATCACATGCATCTCTACCCTGTGCTAAATATGCTACCACCATTCACCACTTATGCCCCACACCATGCACCACATTATCTTCCCCCACATATGCACCACATATTCCCCAGCCTATATCATGTATGCTCCCAAGGTGAGTTGCATATGCCACCTCACCTGAACTGATTCCCATATCAAACATGAACTTTCATTCTGCACCTATCGTCCTGTTCAGTCCTATATATTTGCAGGGGTTATATTCCTAGAAGCCTTGTGAAAGTAGACACTCCAAATAATACAAAACTAAGTTTGCATATTAATTTTGTTTCAGATATGGGATATTTTCTGCTTCCAAGATCATCTCTCTGTAATGCATCGTTCTAATCTAATTAACATTGACAGTCATAAGAAATAATAATCAAAATAAAATGAGATTTGTGGCTATAGGAAACTGGATGTTTTTAGACAGTTATGCATTGTGGGTTTGAATTTTGAGCTTTTCCTTCCCAAGTCAAGGATAACAACAACCGACCTGAGTTCCTATCTTTATAAATAGAACCAACTTGCAATTTTAAGCATCATTTCTTCGTTCAATAACCCAATATTAATAAACAGTGACTAGTTTTATTTCCAAAGTATTTTTTTTTTGCTGTAGACCAGTGTTACCTTCCATTTCCTGACAATGTATGGTCCCTCTGGGTTTAGTGCTTTCCCATGCATATAATGTTAATTACCCATTCCCTGTCTATTATATCTTATTTCTATCTCCTTTCCTATAAGAAATGGAGGAGATGAACCAGAGAGCAGCCCAGCATCCCACTCATGCGTATCCTCAACTTATATAGAGTGAGTTGCAGTTGACAGCATTTTGCACAGTGTTCAAGCACTGCATAGTTACTCACTGTGCTTGTTAAACTGATGGGGGCAGATGAGCTCTGGACCTCCAACCTCATATAATCTCTCATGAAAAACCTTTCACTATCTACAATCTATTTTTTGAGGGAGCAGTATTCTTTGAGCTTTTCATTCTTATATATGCTTGCTTTTTCTGTTGTACTCCTTTTATCTCCTACCTTTTAAGGGGCACGCTTTGATGATGATGTACTGCTTTTGATCAAAAAAATTTGAGTTACCTTTTCCTTTCTTGAATCAAATCTAATTATTTTTCATTACCCAGGAGCTGTATGTTATCCCTATGAGTTTAGCATTACCTCATGTCTATAAAGATAATCAAATTCTTTGTGTTAGCTTTATATTTTTCTTTTTCTTTCTCTACATATCCATCTTATCTTGGTGGGCATTCCCCCAACAACTTTTTCACCCATATAAACTTCTGAGAAAGCGGGAAAACCAGAAGCTATTAAAAACACAGGAAAATGGAAAGAGAATTCAGAATTGGCATAGTAGGCAAAGCAGAAGTGGAGATAGGGCTACTTGTAGCCATATCAGAGAAAATATTAATAAAAGATCAGGTGATAAGGTTAGGGATGTACACAAGGAATGCCACAAAAGATATGACTGTTTTTTACAGCCAAACAAAGAACAGTGCAAGAATTAGAGATGGAATAGTAACTCTGGAATTATCAAACGTTACAGTGACGAGTGAAGTAATAAGGTTACTTAAAGAATTCATTACAGTACATCTTCTTCACACTCCTCAGTCTTGAAGAAGGTGGAAATGATAAGTATGTTTCCTTACATTTGTTGCCTCTCTTCACCTAGTAGTGAATAGGTGTTAGCTGATTGTTGTGAATTGCTTCCTACAGGGGTGGTAGTATACCTAGGCTATGAAATGAGCTGAGGTAGGATAACAAACCCTAGATTGTAAGTTAAATGGTGTAAAAAAAAAGATACCATCAGCTGCATTTGCTAGGCTAGTGTGCTTCAAAAATTTCAACATAAGCCTCCTGTGATTAATTCTTGAGCATGTGGTTCTATCGTGAAACCTTCACATATCCAAGAGCTAATAAAAACATGAGAAAATTAAAAAGTATACATCCAAACTTGTATCTGTTAAAAAAGTATGCATCCAAGCTAGTACAGTGGTACCTTGACTTACGAGTGACCCAACTTACGAGTTTTCTGAGTTATGAGCCGTCGCTCCGTCGACTTTTTGTTTTGAGTTGCGAGCCAAAATCCAAGTTACGAGCTAGTTTCAGATACCCCGCCACTCGCAGGAGATACCGAGGAAATATCAAAAACCTCAATAATAGCCACTGTGTAACATCCTTTCACTTCTGATACTACTGGCAATGCCATCCTGCCAGAATGTTCTGCAACATATGCCCTAAGTAAAGAGAAACAATTCTGGAATGTGTAAAACATGTTTGGTAGGCTGACCGGCCGGCGGCTGGCTAGCTGGCTGATTTGTTTTGGCTGTCTCTGTTTCCTTCTGTCTGTCTGTTTGTGTCTCTATCTCTGTCTCTGTCTATCTCTGTCTCTACCTTACAAGTAGACATAGATACAGTTATACATACTGTAAATTACCTAGGGTAACCTAAAAAATCCAGACGAAGTGCTATACTGTACTATGATTGTAGGTAAAAGGCATAATAAGCATGACTGGTGAGTAATACAGTGGAACCTCTACTTGCGAGTGTGTCCACGTGCGAGTTTTTCCAAATACGAGCAGTCGATGGGGTCGATTTTTTGCTTCCACACGCGAGCAAAATTTCCACAAGCGAGCAGACCTCAAGGCAGGTTCCTTGACACTGGTGAGGGGCTCTTGCTCTTGATCTTGGAAATTGTATCTCATTTGTTTGTTGGACTATCTTATTGAAACTTGGGCAATGTATGATGGAAAGATGCTTCTTAATGTACTCCAAAAATGAAAGAAATCTAAGCATAAATAATGGAGTTCACTTCTCAGCAATTAGCCACCCCTTAGTGGTAATTTTGAATGGTTTTTATGGTTGTAGTCTCATTTTTTTGGTCTCATTTGATAGAATGGAAGATAAATTACAGAAATAGGTATGATTTTGATTGCTTTCATGACAAAAAGTACCTTGAAATAGAGCTCAACCTAGGAGAAATGGTCCATTGCTTGGCTGTTTCAGTGTAAACAAATGACGTCACAGTAAATCTTATATTTTTTGTGTGAATAAAAATTACAAATTATTTATATAATAATATTAATGATAATAATAATAATAATAATAATAATAATAATAATAATAATAATAATAATAATAATAATGAAAGAAATCTAAGCATAAATAATGGAGCTCACTTCTCAGCAATTAGCCACCCCTTAGTGGTATTTTTGTATGATTTTTATGGTTGTATTCTTGTTGTTTTGGTCTCATTTGATAGAATGGAAAATATATTACAGAAATAGATATGATTTTGATTGCTTTCATGACGAAAAGTGCCTTGAAATTGAGCTCAACCTAGGAGAAATGGTCCATTGCTTGGCTGTTTCAGTGTAAACAAATGACGTCACTGTCCATTCCAATATGCAGTCGTGAATGGGTTGACATATTTATACAATTACGTATTGCAATAAGGAATAACAGTAAATCTTATATTTTTTGTGTGAATAAAAATTACAAATAATTTATATAATAATAATAACAGTAACTAATAATAATAATAATAATAATAAATAAATAATAATATGTATAATAATAATAATATGAATAATAACAATACGTATAATAATAATAATAATAATAATAGTTTAATACAATAATAATAATAATAATAATAATAATATAATATGTATAATAATACATATATAATAATAATAATATATGTATAATAATAATACTTTTTTTTTTTTTCAACAAGTCGGCCGTCTCCCACCGAGGCAGGGTGATCCAAAAAAAAGAAAGAAAATCCCCAAAAAGAAAATACTTTCATCATCATTCAACACTTTCACCACACTCGCACATTATCACTGTTTTTGCAGAGGTGCTCAGAATACAACAGTCTAGAAGCATACACATATAAAGATACACAACATATCCCTCCAAACTGCCAATATCCCAAACCCCTCCTTTAAAGTGCAGGCATTGTACTTCCCATTTCCAGGACTCAAGTCCGACTATGTGAAAATAACCGGTTTCCCTGAATCCCTTCACTACAGTGGTCAGTCGTCACGTGAGGTCACAGACCCTGAGCTGCTTTGGGGATTAGCGTGGACGGTTACAAAGCATGGCTTGCTTC